TTTTTGTTCAACTATTCCGTTCGGTTGAGGTGAACAAGGATGAGTAAATTCATGTATAATTCCATTTGACTCACAAAATTCCTTAAGAGAATTATGATTATATTCACTACCTCTATTTTGTTTTAACCTTTTTATTTTCCTATCTCATCGATTTTCTACTTTAGCTTTGAATTTTAGAAACGTACTACTTGTTTCATCCTTCGATTTTAGGAGATATATCTTCGTATATCTAGAAAAACCATCAACAAAGGAAATAGTAATTTTACCCACCTTTGCTAGTGGTGTTTTTGAAATCAACTAAATCAAAATGAATCAATTCTAGTAGTTTACTACTCATTGTAGTGATTGGTTTAAAAAGTTTTTTAGCGAACTTTGCTTCTACGTAAGTAGGACATTTTACAGTTCCAGACAATTCAAAGGCATTTATTAAATTTAGAGTTTTAAGCCTTTTAATTGATGCAATATTCACGTGTCCCAATCTACCATGCCATATATCAAGAGACTCAATGATGTAAGCAGAACGAGAAACAATTTTATTAGTATAGAAGAAGTGTCAAGAACAAACAAACTGTCTGCTAAATAGTCTTTACCAACAAAGTCACAATTTATGGTGATGATAACCTTGTTGACCTCAAACACAATTCTCAGTCCAGCCTGGTTCAACATACCTCCAAACACTACTACAACAAAAAAGGTCTTTAGCGACATTAATTAGTGACAAAATAAATTTATCGTCGCAAACTAGCGACGAAAATGGTTTTGCGTCGCTGGAGAAGTAAGGAAAATACTTTCGTCGCAAAATTGAAGTGGGCGCCAAAACAACCCATCCCTCCCCTTTCTCCTCATTTGTTACGTTTCTGCCTCTTCCATTTCTCTCCCCCATTTTCGTGTTCCAACGTCGCCGCCCGCCTCAAAGGTCGTCCTTGCCGCCGGTTTCTTCAACAAAATCGTCGGCCGTTGGTTCGTTTCAATACCTAGGTAAGTATATTTGGTTTTTGAGTTTCATTTATGTTCATTTATACCTTATATGCTCTATTTTGTATGTGAATCGACCCTCACGGTTTGGAACTTCTTTTCGCCGGAGTTCTTTCATCGATCCTTGTTTTGCATTGAAGGATTTAGCATATTGGTACAAACTTTTCTCTTTTCATTTTATTTAAAGTAGGTTTATTGTTTCAATTGATTTATTGTGTTATGCATGTTTTGTTTAGGGTCCAATAATTAAATTTGTGTTAAACATATATGTTTAAAATTTACTTTTGATTTTGTTTAGACTTTGATTGGAATTAAGTTTAAGATCGTTCATGTGCATTGAAAAAGTATGCCTTTTGTTTGAATTTATTTATATATTAGGTTTGAAATTTAGTTTAAATTTCAAACGTAATATATAAATAAATTCAAACAATAGGCATAAAATTTTATTTAGAATTTGCTTTGAATTAATTTTAAGAATGTTCTTATCAAGTTATTTTTAAGTTAAATTCTTAATGAAATATGTTTGTTTAGAGTTCTTTTTAAAATTATTCTTTGTAGGTTTTTTAATTGGAATAATGAAATTTTCTTTAAAATATGTTTGAAATTAGTTTTGTTGTTTAAAATTTGCTTTAAATTATACTTCTAATATATTTGCTTTTGTTTGGTAGAAAATGATCGATGACCTTAAATATATTAGAATTTGTATAGGGTTGGAGTAAAAAAGTTTAGGATTGTTAGATTTATACTTTTGTTGTGATATATTTTTCATATAAATTTTGTACTTTCATTTTTTTAATTATGTTAGTGATTAATTGTATTATACTTTTGACTAGGAAATGTTATGGATAAAAATTGGATAAAAAATCCGGATAGGTTAAGTAAAGAATATACGGAAGAAATTAGATCATTCGTTCAATTGTCGATAAGAGAGGGTTTACACGTTGCCCATGTAGGAAATGCCAAAACTTAATATGGAAACAACCATGCGATGTGGAAGGTCATTTGTACTCGTATGGAATGTGTCCTTAGTATAGTGTAACGCCCCGCGTTACTCAGGTTAGGTTACTCTCGAGTCTCGGGGCCTCCTTTCTTAGAAATATTTTTAATTTAATTTAAGTGTTTCATTTCATTTTATTTTGAGCTGCTGCAGAAATTGTTGTGAGTTATTGGCGTGTATGTACTTATTTAATTACTGTTTAACGAGGAGTACGCTTTTTTGGCAATTGTCCTGGGTCGTTGGACCAACTACATAATTCTATTCTTGGATATAATTAAACTTAATGATGTTGGATATATGATTCTAATTTATTGTTCGTGGGCTTTGTTTTGTTTCAACAAAGAGTAATTCGGTAACTGGGCCTTCCTTATTTTAAAACAAAATAGAAGTAAAGGGAAAACCCTAGCCCAAGTGGGTTTTTGTTTTAAAACAAAAGAAAAGGGAAGAGAAAACCCTAGCCCCCAAACCCAC